ATGGAAAATACTACTGTGTAGTCAGGGTAGGCTAAGTTTTGTGACAGTAGCAAAAAACCACCAAATTTTAGAGGCTTGTAACACTTTAAGGTTTCTCACTCATATGTCCATATGGTTGGCGGGGACTCTGTTTCATGTCTCTTGGGGACTCAGGCTGATACAGTCTCTACTATCAAGAATGTAATTAGTTGCTCTTGCTGGTGGGAGAAATCTGGTGAATGACACTAGCTATTAAAATGTCCACACAGACTGATATCCTTTGCTTTTGCTCGTAAGTTTAGCTTTCATTTCATTGGCCAAAGCAAGTCGCATCACCACATCTAGATTTAATTAATGGGGTGGAGAAGTACAGTTTTCCTTGTCAGGAAAAGTAGAAATGAATTTTGACATTGGCATTGGGAAGGGAAAACCAGGTGCAAATTTTTCACCTGTCAATTCTTTTCCAACATACGATAAAAATGTCCTTGTAACAAAGATGATAAAATGGCCCTGGTGGATGATGCTGAAATGGTGCCTGCCTCTTTTCTCAGGATAGAGACTAGTGGAACCCCGCTGTGTGCTCCTGGCCGCTGCAGTTCTGTGGAAAAGAGAGCCCAGCCACTATCCAGCTCTTCCTGAAGCTGTCTCAGCTCGGTCCTCTGCCTGCTAGCATAACTCTCTGAAGAAACCCTAATAATCTCTTGTTCTCTAAACTGGCTTCCATTCAAAGACTTGCAGGACACATCTCATCATGACTTACATCTCTGTTTCCCTAAATTGCTATCAGAGCTCCAAGCATCCCAAATTATCTATCATCACACAGACGTTTATTTCCATTTTGTTCTGTAATCCCACCCTTTCATTCATTCCACTGTGTCCTCTACAGTTTACTGGGTGTATCGGCCAACTCCCTGCCGGGCAGTCCTACTACTCTTTCCCAGTAAATTTATTCTTCCTCTTTGAAATATATATTTCATATTCTTTTTTTCTTCTCAAACATCTCTCATATTTCATAGCAAAATGAGATAAAATCAGATATGAAACTTCATCTTCTCACCAACTAATCCGCTCACACCTACCTGACTCTGTATTCACATATCTCACCTTCACTCTTAGGATTAAATGTCCCCACATGAATCTAATGCCAACCACCTAGGTGCCCTCAATCTCAATTCCTTATTTCCCTTTATGGACATTCTTTTTTTAATTATCCACTTTCTCTCCTATATTGTCATTTTCATTTTCTCAGATTTCTCCAGCAAGCAAGCATGCTTTTATGGCATCCATTGAAAAAATTTTCTTAAACCTTTGCTTCATTCCAACTATTACTTCATCTCCTTCTTCCCTTCACAGAAAAACTCCTTGAAAGAAATTTTTATAATTATCTGCAGTTTTGCATCTCATTCTCTAATAAACTTACTATAATCATGCTTTTATCTTCATCATGCCATTAAAATGATTTTTATCTAGATCAAGTGCTAATAATAGCTAACACAGAGTACCTGCTATGAGGCCGGGAGTGTTCTAAATACTTTATACATATTAACTCATTTAATCCCCAAATCAACCATATGAAGACGGTGCTATTAATATCCCTCTTTTAGATATGAAAAAATACTAATCAGAGATATTTGATGATGTGCCCAAGGTTACAATGCTGTTTGAAGAAGCTTAGATTTGAACCTAGCTACTGTGGTTTTGGAGGCTCTGTTTTAACTGCTGCATCATATTATTTTTTTAGGAGACAATTATTTCGCTTCATTTATTAAACCTTTCAGCAACGTTTGACATAACTGACCAATCCCTCTTTCTTGAAACATTTTATTCTTTGGTTTTCCATGCCTTTATCTCATGTTCTTTTTCTCTTACCTCATGTTCTGCTCCGTATCAGTTTTTTCTACTGTCTCCCTTCTTCCAGATTTAGGTTCTGGACTATTCCTTCCCTACTTCTCTATGGGTAGCAGTAGCCTTTCCATGGTAATTTAGTCCAGTCTATGGCTTTAAATATCACCTATCAACCTAGATCTCTTAAGTGTGTATCTGCAGTCTAGATCTCTTCCCTAAGCTCCATTTTATAAATGTTGCTGCCTGATTTACATCTCTACTCCTGTGTCTTATAAGAATCTCAGACTTAACACAGACAAAACAGAACTACAGTAATTTCGACCCAACCCAACTTTTGCCGAACTCCCCTTTCCCAGGCCTCCTCTATCTTCCAGAACCACCAAATTCTAATTCCTCAGGACAAGCTTAGGAGTAATCCTTAATTCCTCTTCCCCTCACAGCTCATACTCAATCCATTAGCAAGTCAAACCAGCTCTACTCTGAAATATGCCGCATCTGGTACTTCTTCCCAACCCTTAGTCTAGTCTGTGCCCCATCCTTCACCTCCTGAACTCCTGCAACCCCTTCACGACTGGTCTCCCTGCTTTCACTCTTGCTTTCTTCAGTCCATTCTCTAAAGAGCAGCTTGAGCAAACTTCTAAAGCATTAATGAGATGACAGCATTTCCACCCAAAGGCTTTCCCTTGCAACGAGAGTAAAATCCAATCTCTTTACCATGGCACCCGCCCCTACATCATCTTCCTACGTTTCTGACATATTGTCCTCAGCCTCTCAGCTGTTCAGCCACAGTACATCCACACTGGCCATCTTGCTGTCCTGGGAACACACCACACGTTTCCCCATTTCAGAACCTTGTCATTTTCTGCTCCTTCTCTTTGGAAAGTTCCTCCTTTCTTAGCTCTTCATCATGGAGGCTTTCTTCTCATCATTCAGGCCATTATTCAGGTTACCTCCTCAGAGAGGTTTTCCCTGAGACTCACAAAAATCTGCCTTCCCTCCATGTTTGATTACTCTCAATCACATTACCCTACTGCATTTCTTTCAAGGAGCTAGAAAATCTAACATTGTCTTACTTAATCATTAGTACCTAATTATTATTTGTTTTCTCCACAGGAATATGAGCTCTTTAAGGGCAGGTCTATGTCCATCTTACACATTGTTGCATCCCCATTACTCAGAACCATGCCTGATATGTGGTATTGACTCAAAATGTGACTAAGTGAGGTTCAGTGTAGAAAGCAGTATTTTGACTCGTATAATATTACATAAAGCATTCAATAAATTAAAACAAACTGAATCATCCTTAGCTAAGAAAATATTTTCTAGAGCACAAGGAACAGAAATCCGGCTTTCAAGTTTTTAGCTTTTGTTTGATAGCCTTGTGTTTGAATCACACATGGAGAAATTCCCATTTGTATCTACCATGACAGAAAAATCTTTGTGACATTGGAAATGGTATCTGCTTCTTAACATTCTTTTGAGGATTATGTGTCAAAGCTGTATGTTACACCTGAGTTTCTCGGTTTCACATGGGGAATGACGTGGACAATCCATGCGGTTTGGTCTCTCTTAGAAGAAAAATCCAAGCAATCTAACCTGAGTTACTGCCTGGTGGTTCCTCATCTCTGAGGGGAAGATTGATATGAATGCATGATGTACTCATCTCATTTACAAAATGATCTCAGTATACTTTATAGCATTAAACAACTTCCTGTGTCCTACTTTTCTATTTAAATCTGTTTTTATATCAGTCACGTTCTTATGTTGTTGAAAGCATAACATTTCAACAGATGTTTGATTTTAAGCTGGTTTTATCTTTAGCAGATGGAAATTTTGCTTGATCATTTCACAGGAGGGTTAATACTTTGAAGAAGAAATGCTGGGTAGAAAACACAATGAAGGCAAACTCGAACCCTATCCTAATGTGATAAGTGAGGTCCAAAAATTTCAATCACCCAAACAGTTCAGTAGCCTCACTGTGAGGTTAAGAAAATGGGTGATGGGTTTTTCCAGGCTAGATATAAATCCATCCACGTTCTGGCTGTGGTGGTTGTCATTCAGTGGCAGCTGTTCCCTCAGGCAAAATGGAAAGGAATGATTTTTTTTGTTTTTTTCCCTCCTGAACAGGCATTTAATAGTCTTATTTCAGTTGGAAGCAGTAGTTGGAGAATAAGTTACAGGAGCAGACAAACCAAAAAAAAAAAAAAAAAAAAAACCCCAAACCAAAAAGCTCCACGTAACTTAAAGTGCTTCAGACTGCAAATGTAAACATGAGGGCGAGGGGAGGCCACCGAGCTCTCTCCCCTGACCTGAGACAGGAGGGTCATGTCATTGTCGGTTCCCTTTACCATCACTACCCTCTGATCTCAGCCCTGCAGGTGGGAGGGTGGGAGGGAATGTCAGAGGCAGGGAAGAGGACTTAAAGGAACGAGGAAAACACTTTGTAAACCTAGAACCAGGGTGCAAGGTGGGGGTGCAAGGGAGCTCCTGGAGCCCTTGCCCTGGCTGAGGGGTGGGGCCAGCCCCCCCAGGAGGTGCGGGAAATACTGTTGGCTTCATGCCGCAGCCATCCCTGAGACTGGATGGAACGTTCAGGAAGATGGCAGCAATTTCAAAAATCACCCAATTAGTTCATTTCCAGGGAAATTGAGCAGAAGAATCCTGAGGAAGTGGGTTCCCACCCTCTGCCTCCCTGATTTCTGAAAAGAATTTCCCTTCCTGGCCCTTACACTCACCCCTAGATGAAGAATATAACCTTTATCAACCCACCTACTTTGAGAATAAGGTTTGTCTCAGCCCTAGTACAGGGCACCTTGTCCGGGGGTTCCCTTACTTTGATCAACACGTTGAACAAAAAGGTGTAAAAAAAGTCATATGCAAATAAATATGTTTTTGATGATACCACACATTGCCTCTATATTTCAGACTGCTCTAACAGCTCATTCTAATCTAGTCACTAATTGTTCCTGCTTCACCAAGCATTTACTGACAGAAATGGTCCTACCACATTTAACAAAGAGATCAAATCTGCATTATGGAGTCAGCATCATTGTATTTCTAGTTTCATGCATGGTGGATCCTTTATAGAGCTATATTTAATGTGCTTCTAATTAAAAAGAGTAGGGAGTATCCAAGCTTTCTCAATGTTATCTCAACTTTTGTTTTTGTTTGTGCAGCTCACCATGTTAAAACGGGCACTTGCGAGGTGGTGGCACTCCACAGATGTTGTAATAAGAACAAGATAGAAGAACGGTCACAAACAGTCAAGTGCTCCTGCTTCCCTGGGCAGGTGGCAGGTACCACACGAGCTGCTCCCTCTTGTGTGGATGGTGAGGCTTCTTCCATTGCTCTTTGGGATAGGGTAGACGAGGACTGCTTAGAACTGGAATCCCACTGTGATGCTGATGACTGGGGTTAATCCTGGGGGACCGCACCATCAACCACGTGGTTGGTACAAGGTCACTTGAAGAGCGTTTTGAAATCTAAAATCTATTGGAAGATGGTCTAAGATCTTATGCGGTTTTGTAGCAAAAGGCATTATAATGAGGTTCCAGTAAGTCCATGTGCCTCTTACTTTGATGCCATGAAATATTGATTTGCCAGTGGAGGGCGAGTGTGTGTGTGTGTGTGTGTGTGTGTGTGTGTGTGTGTGTATAAATTATTTGGCAAAGGAAAAATGAAATAGATGATTAAATAGTGTGGGTACCTAAACACATGACTGGTTCTTAACAATGAAAAAATAAACACTGCACAGATGAGTGAACGTTTAGCTGTGGATAAAATTCACATGAAATATTTTTATAGAGATTTATCAAAATATTAATTTCTTTCTTGGAGGATTCACCTAATTACAGAGGATATAAACATTTATGTGGGTCTATATAATTGATGTTATCATAAATAATAATGTGTTAAGTGCTCATATTTTCATGGTGCACTCCTTGTGATGATAGTTACTGCCCACAGTAAAAAAAAGATTGTGTTCATTTGAATGCCTTCCTGATTTTAGCCTACTTGTGGGAAATACTACATTGATTCTAAAATATTGACTCTGGTCATGGACTCACTTTCTTATATGTTTATGTAAATCAGCACATGCATGTATCCACATAGTTTCTTTCCAATATGTTATTGTCCAATTCATATATGTCCATAACATATTCATGGACAATATGTTATTGTCCAAATTCTTTCCAATATGTTATTGTCCATGAATATGTTATTGTTGCATGAAATATCCTTTAAAAATGTGCCTATCATTAACAATACTGTATTATACACTTAACATGAGATCTACCATCTTAAAATTTTAAGTATTCTTACCACAGTAAAATAAAAATCAAAAAAATATTTTTAGTCAAAAAATCTAGAAAGATTTATTCCCTTTGGACAAAAAAAAAAAAAAAAAAAAAAAAGCATCCTTCAAAATCTAATCATCCCAGTGGTGGGAAAAATATGTGGCTGTTGTTCTTCTTTAAATGTGCACCCAAAGAATTAACAAGCCCAAACAGAAAATATTAAATTGATTTTTCTATCTCCTGTAGCTTCAATAGTGGAACAGAAATGGTGGTGCCATATGCAACCATGTCTTGAGGGAGAAGAATGTAAAGTTCTTCCAGATCGGAAAGGATGGAGCTGTTCCTCCGGGAATAAAGTGAAAACAACTAGGGTAAGTGGACAGCCAGCCTGTGAAAGCAAAAAGTCTCTCAATTAATAGAGCACGGAGCACGTGCAGTGACATCTTTAAGTGGTGGTTGTAGGATGAGAGGTAATAGTTTTCCATAGTACATTTTTCTCCCATTTTCTCCCTGCTTCATTTTTTCATAACACATTTTTATTTCATCCAGAATAACATCTTCTGTAGATTGCCATCAACTGTCATATTACCTAATAATTAAATGCTCTTTGTTCCTTCATGAGATACTGACAAAAATGTGAACACCCCCGCCCCAAGGATGCGTGTTAAATGCTGGGAAGGTGACCCCAATCCCTCATTCTTCTGATGGATAGTGATCTGAATAAATTCTGAAAAAAAGAGAATTTATATATGACTCAACAAACATTTCCCAGTTAATATTCTTTCATTTTTATGAGAGTAATTATTTTGACCTCCCTGATTTCTGGATCAATAAATAGTTTTCTGATGGTTAAGTTTGTAATCATTGTAATGAGTTATCAAGAGGAGTTTTCAAATCTCAGGGTCAATATAAAAGGAATGCTCTTCAGACAGTCAGGTATTTCAGCTTGCAATGACTGATTTCTGGGGGGTAGGAGAGGAGTGAAAAATAGCTTTATTCTTTCATTTTCTAATTACCTCCATGGATATTCTGGACTGGCAGAATTTAAATTCTTTGTGGAATCAGCAAATGAAAGTTTTGTCTTATTTTGCTTTTTGCACTAAGGGGAAAGCTGACTACTGTTTAGAACTGGATAACTGGGGGCTAGAACAGAATAATGTTTTATAAAAAGGGGATATTTTATTTAATAAAATGTAACATAAAACTAGAGACTGTAATTTACGGTATTGATTAACAATAGCAGTTTTTTTTTTTTAAACCTTGTGTGGACATATTCAAGAGGATTATTTTAAAATCCCATCAGATATATAATGTTGAGTAATATCTTTAGTGCATTGACTATTCAGACATACAGAGAAGTAACCAAGTTTCTAATAAATAATAACTTTATATTTTGTCAAATGATTTCATGACTCTAGACTCATCAGTTAAAGGCTGACACTCTTCCAGAATCTGTGGAGTGCATGACCAGTTAATTAGAATAATTGTATTATTCAGTTAGCACATGATATAATCCATATTGATTTGTTAAAACCATTCTGGCAATGTAAAATTTCCTTATAAGCTATTTATAGCATGAAAATTTTTTTCCTAACACTATTAATCCTTAGTCTAAAATAACACTCATGTAAATGCCTGGAGATTTAAGATTCTGAAACAATTTTTTTTTTTTAAATAGTGAGTTCTCTACATCTAAATTCTATGTTTCTATTACATCAGTGGGTATGAGGAAGCTAACACTTATTAGATACTTAAAACATATGCCATATACTGAACAATGTGCTTCATGTGAATTAGCTCATTTAATCTTCTTAATAGCCCAGTGAAACAGGTAATATTATTATCTCCTTTTACAGCTGAGTAAACCAAAGCTTTAAAATGTTAAGTGACTTCCCAAGGTCATATAGCTAATTAATGGGAAGTTACGGATCAAACTGTATATTTTCATTCCAGAACCTAATCTCTTAACCTGTAGTTTATACTAGATCATTTAACTTATTCTTAAGTAATAGTGATGAAAGTTTCCTATAATTCTGTTCATATAAAGTAGACCTTTAAAAATATTTTTAGCTTTTTGGATCATTGAAATGAAAAGGTCAGAAGCATGTGATCTAAATTCTCATAATAAATTATTTTAGAAGTGTTGCTTCACTCCCTGTTGGGCCATATTCTCAATAGTTCAAACGTAAAATTGAGTCTCTGCTTCACAAATTCTTCATAATGTAATTAAACAAGATAGATGAAAGACTGAGAACTTGTGAGTAGGGAAGACCACATCTAGATCCTCTAGTTTGTTTTATTTATAAATTCATATAACTTATAGTGGATTGCCCTTTCTATTTTTCCTTCATCTCCTTTGCCCTGGAGAACAGCTGTTAATGGAAGACCTCATTGAAAATACTGTAGAGAGGATTCATGCAATAGTGGGTGTTTGTATTAAATTATCTTAAAAATTCCTTCCAACCCTGAGAGTCTATGATTCTCATTTAAAAAGGAAAAATCATTATATATAAGAGAAGATAAGAGGGCTTGAGAGAAGGAGCTTCTTCAGTACAATCAAAGTAAATTATTGTTACTTTTTCCTTCACAAGTAAAAAGATTGCTGGTGAAAATGAAGCTACTTGGACATTTTCAACTAAAGGAACGTCATGGCATTTCAAATGCCTGGGCAAAATGTTCAATTACGAATATTAGTTTGGCTCACAAAACAATTAGGTGAATTTCCCTGAGGCCCCAAAGAAGCAAAGTTGTCAAGGTCATCATGTTATTAGTGTTCTGCCATCTCCTTTGAAATAGTCCAAAAAGTATTGGAGATGAGATAAATTCTTGAAATAGTTCTGGCACGACATTACTTTGCCCACAGTGGAAGTGTTGGGTAGAGGTAGGTTCTGCCCTACATAAACAGCAGCAATATTATTGAAAAGAAATCTGATCATTATTTTAATCACTGGTGTTATTATCCACTTGCTGGTCTTGAATAAGGTAGCCATGGCTGTGGTGAGCCAAGAAGCCACTGAAGCCCTGATTTGGCAGGTCCTAGCCACAAATGGGAAAGTCTAGAAGTTAAGCAGGAATAGGCTATAAAAGTAACTGAAGAGCTGCTCTCAGCAAAAAGTCATTTGGGTTCCTTACGCAAGATATGTTGGTCTTATGGGATTATCACTGTAAGCAAAATGGCTCGAGAAATGATTAAAATTTGCAGTAATGTACATCCTCCTTCATAACTGCCTGTATCCAATCTGGAGTGCTCTGGTAAATTTAATGTTAGAAAAAAAGCAGTCAGCCAAAAACATCAATGAGGCTTGCTTGGCCTCAGCAGAGATGCATGGTACTTTCCAGAATTGACTACAGATCAGGGGCTGGGTGAATTTCTCATTTAAGACTAATTTGGAACTTACATTGTACTTCCCATAAATGCTAATTATATCCTCCTTCTGTCTTTGTACTAAATTCAGGAAGCTTATTGTCATAACCCATTTTCTAATTGTCCTAACAAGGGGAAAAGGCAAAGAATAGACAGCCTTTGTTAGAACAGCAATATTTGCATACATGCTCTTCAAAACCCCAAACATTTAGTCTGCAGAGAAAGGAGGGTGCAACATTGTTTCCCGAGCCCTACTTCTCACCTTAAAGCTGGAAACTAATGACTGCGTATGACATCTGTAACCATCTACTGTATTACTTTAAAGAACTCCTAAGTTAAAAGGAAAAAAAGGAAAAGCCATGAAAGCCTTTTGATTTCAAACTCACTTTCAAAGATAAATAATAAAGAACTTTTCAAAGAGTCATTAATAAAAGAATAGTCTTTCCAGTGTGAAAAAGCACATAATTATATGCTGATTATATAATAGAAAAGTAGAAGGGGGGAAAGGTGCTGTAGAGCTTGTAAGAATTGAGAAAAAAAACTTTGATAACATTGTTAGAATCCTCAGAGAAAACAGACTGTGATTCATTTCTTTTAATGTTTTGATACTCTTTCTCTGTGGAATATCTCCTAAAAGAAGTCACTTTCTGATTTTAGGACTTACAGCCCTTGGCCATTGGTATGGACTCCACATTCCTATGGTCATGCAGCTCAGATGTCTGGTTCTTACCTAAGGAAAAATGAACTTAACTCGATATAAGATTTTTATATTTTCATTAGAAATATTATCTTTATGAATCATGAATCCTCATATGCTTAAGAAGACATTTTCTGAGTAACTTTTAACTAATTGGAATTCTTTCATCTTTACTCATTTACTTAAAGTGCCTTAAGCAGATAAGAACTCTATAGTTTTTTAATGTCCCTTCAAACATAAATGGATTTTAAGGGCATAAAATATGATTTTATTTTGTTGTATAATGCAATGAAAATCAACAAATGTTAAAAAATTTCCTGTGCATAAATATTCTATAATAAGAATGCTCATATTATAATCAAAGCAACAAAATCAAATATGAAAGCATTCACTTAGCTCTTAAAGTGTGCTGGGCACTCTGCTAAGTGCATCGCAGGTATTATCTTATTTAATTTCCCCAACCACAGTAGTTACTAACTAGAGCACAAAGATATACATAGCATGATGCCTGCCCACCAGGAGTATGCCCTTGAGTGGGGGAATGAATAGTAGACAACTGCATTATTCTTTTGTTATCCATATGCAGCCCACTAACAATAAACATTGGAATCACTGGTAAATATAAATCGAGTAACATTATTATAATAATGGGGATAACATAAGTCTCTAGTTCAGCTTCCTCATCTGCAAAAAAAATGAGGATGTTGAGCTATATTCAATTTCAAGTTCCTCTAAACAACATTTATTCTTTGATTCCTTGTGCCAAGGACATTTCTAACTTCCTTTCCAACTAAATTTATATGACACTAATAACTAACTAATCTCAGAACAGAGGTAAGTGTTAGGTTTTTCATCCTCTCCCTCTAAGGGAGAAAAGAAATAGCACCTTAGGGTGCTTTGTTGATTGAAGCCTCAAGTCATCCCCTTCCAGATGCTGCCTGATTTTACACCAAGACTCGGTGACTCTGAGTTGGTGGGTCTGAATGGTGTCCAGGGGTGCTACTCCAGGTCCAAGGCAAAGGAAGAACACAAGAGGAGAAAAGTTCATTTTCTCACCTTAAGGGGGTGCAATTTGTGAATTATTCAATCACAAACTCTCTTCTTGTCTTGTAAATTTAACATAGACTTAGGGTAGTGTGGTCCTTTTTTGATCAGCCCTTTCTAACAGACACATTCCCCATTCTTTTGTTTTCATCTCACCTCTGACCAGGCCCTGAATTGCACCCTGGTCCACAGGACAGAGCATGACAACTTTTAGGGCTGTGGTTTTCAAATTATCTTGATGGTACCTAAGTAAGAAATACATCTTA